ATAGTGATAATATCTTCATAAAACATCATCTTATTAGAAAAGACATATTCCTTCTCTTCATCGTCACAATTATATTTGTAAACAACTTTGTGAATGCATAAAGGATTTTCAAAAATCATTTGCATGATTTGTCCATGCATTTTCATCATGTGCTCAATAATTTTTTTTGGACTGAACATTTCTTTAGGGACAAGTTTGTCAGTTTCGGGGAATGAACGTAGTAGTCCGATCTCGAGGATACAAATAGATTGACCAGTAGATATTTTATTTAGTACATCTACTAACGAGCGTAATGGACATGTATTCCTCTCGTACTTGCGTATACCTTTAAATACATCTTCTTGATAAGGCATTGTTTTATCAGGTGTCAAATCAGATGCGTTAATAAATCGTATTGGATGAATAGTTGTTACTCTTCAATTTTACAATACAGTTCAATTTTACAATACAGGCAACTCGATTTCTAGCTTTTAAATTTCCCAAATTTGTCGTATAATGTCAGTCCAACACATACAAATTCAGCATCTACGTTCTAAAATATGTACATTAATTCACATTATTTTCAATTCAATCATTATATAATGATTACACTGTTTGACAAAAAGCAACTTTTTTTTCGAATACTAAAACAAGATTAGTCTTTTTTTAATAATTTTTTACATGTCGAATGTATTATTTAAATTGTTCCATTACATCATTTTAACAAATTTGCAATTCAATTTGTAAAAAAAGGCTGCTATTATATATTTTATCATATTATAACTGCGATATATGAAATGTATTTGAGATATTTTATTTCAATCAAAATTAAGTTATATATTGTTAAGACTTCCAGCCCCCGAAAGGATTTTCTAGTGTTGCGATTAATAAGATGTTCATAGTAGTTAAATACTAATTATATGGTCTATTTATATGGAAAAGCTGCGATGCTGCATTGCAACTAACGTAGAGCTTTATACATGATAAAAAAAAACTACGCAACGACAACATAACATTAACCGAATTATCGTTAAGAATTATAAAATCGAAGTACAGCACATCATATATTGTTAATGACAAATATGTAAAAATAATTCGTTTTGGATTTTTAAACGTTGATTTCTCAAAACTGTGACGTGACAGAACAATTTAAAAGCTGGATTCGTATTTATATCCAAAAGACTGTATTTCGTTCTGTTTTTTTGTTGTTGTTGAACAGTAATATTAATACATAAATACAATTGGTTTAATAATTTAATATGTACTCATATTTCATTTTGTTCAATGATGATTATGAAAAGATATAATATACATAAGAAAAATTACATTGTTTCAAATGGATTTAACTTTTGCACTTTAAAATACTATAAATAATTAATATTTAAAATATATTTGAACAATTGATGCGTTGCAGAAAAATATCACTAAATCGCCTTATTTTATCATTGTTAAATTATCAGTAACTCACCTTTATATCTTCAAAGAAGTTATGTCCATTCTAATAAATTACAAAAGAGTTTTCTCGATGGTAATAGATTGAGAAATAAAGTCGGGAAGGACATAAATAAATACAATAAATCAAATAAATATACATGCTATACATTTAGCTATTAGTGCTTGTTGGATTTTACGGAATTATAAAAATTATATAAATTTTCTCATGATAACGATATTGATAAAAAATAACTTAATTTTACTTTTTTCCCATTTTTATTCCTATGTATATGTATGCATGAAAACATATACATACTCTTTACAATTTATTGTAAATATATAACAAACTTTATCGTTAGTACTTTGAAGTGCAAAAATTAAATCCATTTGAAATTAATATAATTTTTTTTACGAAAATATTTTTTCGTTATTATCAGTAATATATTAATTGATCTATTAAAACATTATTCTTGTTAAAAAAGAGTATTTCAAATAATTAATAAATTTTTTGTTTAAATAATATCTGAGTAAAGCAAAAAAGAAATAATCAGAACTGTGTATAAAATGAAGTTTGAGAAACAAAAACTAAATCTAAATATATATTATCTAAATTTATTATTGTTTATGTTTTCTCATTATTATTATTTTTATTGTATTAAAAAGTAATTTTACAAAAGAAAGAAGGATGTATGAAACATGTACAAATTTTATATATAATTATATATGTTTGATATATGAATATTTATGCATGTTTATGTATGTTTATACATATTTATATATATTTATGAAACATTTTTTACAGGGAAATATAAGCACTTTATTCTTTACAATTTTGTACTCTATGCAAATTGTTTATACGTTATATATATTTCATTGTATACGTTGTTATATATATTTCACAAGGTACATGTATAATATAATGCTAATGATGATACATTCCTGATTTAAAAAATCCCATAAATACACTATCTGAACAAAATTAAAGGCCCACTTCATTCGACCCTATAAAAATAAGTAAATTTTAAAATAGAAGAACTTTGTCAAAAATCATTGTATCAAAATGTTTAAAAAAGCATTTTACATCTTGAAATCTATTCCTTCCAGATACTTGAAAAAAATGATCTTACTGACATTTTATGGAGTTATACAAATTTATAAATAAATAAATTTATAAATTTAGTTATACAAACATAAATAAAGGTGCATCAAATCTCAAAGTTTTTACGAAATTACTAAGTCCCACAGCGTGAATTAAAAATTGCACACAAACGTGGTTTACAATATTCAAAAGAGCGAGTTTTTAATTTGCTTTTTCCTTGAGCTCTATACGATTTTTTTTTCATCGAATTCTTCGACATTGAAAAAAAACGTCACTTTGCTTCAATTTTGAATAACTCGATTTAAAAAAATTGTGTGATATCTATTTTAAAATATTTTTATATTAAATTTTGTCTGATAATGTTTCATCAAATTGCAATGTTTTAAAGTAAGACAAAAATATTGCAAAATATATCAATATTCAATTTTATGTAATTTTAGGAATAAAATGTACAAAAATTTTGAATGTAAATTTAAAGTTCTATCTTTGCACTTTAGAACATTGGTTGAAAATAATTTAGATCACATGGCTCTCTATTATTTTTTTTCACCGAGATATTTAATTTTTTACAAAATGCGAAAAAATCGCAAATGTTTCCAAACATGTTTTGAAGATGTATATATATTTTATATATACATATATGTATATATAAAATATATATACACGTACATATACACATATATTTAATTAATTATTAAAATTAAATTAGGAAAATAAATTAAAACAACATTGTATTAAATTATAAATTTATTACATTAAAAGTAACGCTCATATACCACGTTAAATTGTCAAAGACTTTTCAAACAAAACTGTATATACCTAAATCGAAATTTTGAATGGATACATATAAGATAATCTTATATTTGGCTATAATATCGAGAGATTCGCGACACAATGCGCATAACATCGTGAAATTAAGTATTGCAAAAGATATCAAATGATTCTTAGAGTTATTTATTCAATGAGAAACGACTGTACTTTAGAAATTATTTTTTACAGTGTACAGTTTTATCTTATTATTTTATTCCATTTTTTGCTTACAAAAACTAGCTGAGTATATTAAATTTGAACCGATCAAATTTGTAACGATATTATTACCTTCTGATCGGAACATTGTCTGACTGATCAAAAAGTATAAGTATGTTTCATGCATGTTAAATTAAATATTGAAAAGAACATATCCTTCTATTTAACTTATAATCTGCTTTAATAAAAATACGACAACTTAAAGATGATTACGTCATTTGGTCCATTTGCGATACAATTCAGTAACAATTCTTGCCCTCTTATATGCAATTATAATTATAATTAAAACACAAACTCTATATAAGTTTAAGTGGATTAAAATGTACACATAATAAATTTAATATACATAAAGAATTAATTCCATTAACTTAATAATAATTTTCTGAAGTATAAATCTGGCAAAATTTATACTTTATATTATTTAGGTTTATTATTTACGATCTGCATTCAGAGGGCAAAAGCAATTACTTTAATAAAATATGAGACTTTTGTATGTACGTACAATTCTTGGAACATAACTTAATGTTTGCTGTAATAATTATATATATATAACATAAAATTGTCATGTTAGTACTCACGTAAGTTATACTATAACTCAACATAAGTTATATTCGATTTCAAGTATCGAAGCACAGCCATTAAAAAAATAATCCTTCTCTAACTTCTCTGTCTTAAAAATTATTGTCCGAGACTCATCAGATTATTTGTGGATATTTTGATAATTCTTTGTATTCGGAAAATATCGTCGCGTTGAATCAAAAATCGCACGTACTATTAATCCGCACGTACAATAAAAATTATTTCAAAAGATATTTTACATTTAGATAAAAATATATCGACGTAAAATAATAAAGAAACTTAACATCTATAACAGCAATGATAATGTAAAATGATATTGATTAAATGGGATCACATCTTTGGTACAATTTGTCATTAGTATCAATATGTCAACGAACACCACCTTTATCGTGCTAATAGCTATGGCAAGATGGAGCCAAATATATTCTGATTATATATTAATTTCTTATCATCGACGATAATATCGTAAGCCTCTGAAACAGAACGAGATTTATGTTCTCCTTGTTTAACATATTTTATATTTAATAAATCTCGTGTTAATCTCTAATTTGTTATTCTTATTAAAAGCATATTGTACAGCTACATCCCCATAACAGTCTTCAGTTTTAATATATACGTATTAAATCCTTCTAGTCTCTTTCTTAATAATGAAATTTTCCAAGTATATATTTTTATTATCCCAAGTAATAACAATCAAATTCGTCATTTGTTACTGTTTAGTAAATCCGTTCTCTTGTTAATATTTCGGCCATGAAAAGCTTGATCGTTCCAATTTCCCAATATAATTAAAACATCATAATAACAGTTAAATTGTTATTAATAAAATTGAAAAGCCGGACGTATCATTTTACAAATTAAAAATATTTCGTGATTCGCGATATTTATCAAAAAAGAAATTGCAACAAATTAATGTACATCGATACATTTTGACAAATATTAACATATACTCGAAATTCCATGGGTCAAGCTCTTTTCGAGGACAATGTGGAACTCGCTCAACGGCTCAAGAATATGAATAAGAAAGGTCAGTAATGTGGGATTTCTCAAAAACGAATTCTCCTCATACATATCCATCGTAGAACGCGCATCGCTCATCGGCCGCAACATTGGATGAAGAAGTTGTTCTCTGAAAATTACATTGACGAATGAATATAAATAATAACAAAAAACGAATTGAATAATCGCGTTAAAATTTTCACAAACTTACCTCGCCGCTAAACAAATAAATAATTGAAATTTTCCATCTTTGATCGATCAGATGACAATAACATCTCAAGATCGTAAATCTTTGACTGCTTTCTGAGTATACTCTTCTATCGCGGTTGAGTCTTTGAGAATATTCGTCCATTTCTTCCAACAGGGAAATCTCAAAATTTTCTTTTATGCGTACTACAATAATTTCAATTATACATTTTTCTAAAATCAATTTTCTAATATCACTGAATACGATTAAATTTTTACTTACAGAGATAGTCCCATACGTAAAAGTTCCTCCCAAATATCCTCTGATTTTTAAAGCCAAATAAAAATATTTGTTCTAAGGATGGTACGAGACCTCCTTCTCCACATAATAGTGCTGTCAAGGAACCATCTTGACATTCTCTTCTGTAGTGATATTTGACTATGGCATTTACAGCTTCGCCTGTAAAATTATGTTTAATATCATTTTATTTAATTTCTAATAATCTAAAATTTTAAATCAATTATATTAAAAATTTTGTATCATCTTTTATTTTTATGCTATATTTTTTATTATTTGTATATTAATAATATAATAACAAGCTGTTTCTATTTTTCTAAATAATGTAATTTTCTATATTACAAATAATTATATATAATATTATAAAATATTATTGAAGTTTCCTAAAGAAATATCCCCTTATTTCTAGAAAATGTAAGAATTGTACTTTACTCATACTGATAAAAAAAACATGATCTGTTTTAGATAATTATTATAATATTTATGATTTGTTTCTACATAAAATCAGCTAAAATCAAATTCTACAAATACAAAAATCAAATTCTAACGATTTTTTTTTACAAATTGTATAGTTTAAATAGTAATTATATTATTGATAATATTATATCGTTTTATATGTTTTTAGTTTCATAAATGTTTTATTTATATTTTTCTCCGATTTTTTTTCTCTTTCTTATTTTTCTCATAACACAGTATTTGAATATAAAATCGGTTTGTAAGATGTTGAATCTAACTTAACCTTTATATATTATTGTATTATATAGTATTGTATTATAGTGTCAAATAACTGTATTGGAACTGAAAACAATCTTGTATTTACGGAAAAATTCTTCAAAAAAAACTGTAGCGTTACATATTTGCAAAACAGCATAATAATCAATACAAAACGTTTCATATCGAAATGAAAAGATTCTAAAAATTCTCTTATACATTAATTTTAATTGGAATTATTTTATACAGATGATTCCTATGAAAGAAAAAGAATAAGAATTAATGCCTACTGTATCAGTTTAGGATCCATTTTAACAGACATTCATTTTATGAAAAAATTAACTTTGAAAAATTATAAAAATATTACTAAAAACTGCTATCATCCATAGAAGAAACTTTCTAGTTTGTATTTATGTTTCTAAAGATTTATTTTTAGCTTTTACTCAAGAAATATTGTCCAAAAAGTGATGGTAAGATTGATGATCTTCCTCTAATATTACATTTTGTCAAAATATTAAAATAATTTGAATTAATATTAGAAATTTATTCTAACGAAATGTATAAATAAATATAATATATATAGATAAACAATAGTAATTATAATATGAATTAATTACCTAGCATATGTTGCAGTTCAACTTGCGAAAATATAGGACGCCTAGGTATACTTGGAGATCTACATCTTGGAGGCGTGGAACATGACTCTACCAACTCCTCGCTATCAATGCTTCGAGGTACTAAAGCACCCACTAATAAACGCTCAGTAGATCCGTCATCTATTCCTCTGCCAAGCCAACGACCACAGGGAAACTTAAATGTGTGTCCAGTTACTTCGTTTCTCACTACAACATGCTCCACCATCCATTTTGGCGACAACCCGGTATTGTCATGTCCAATCCGTAACGTAGACAATACGCCTAAATTTTTATGCTAAAAAATATACATAAAGAGATGATTACATGATTAAAATGTATTTAATAAAATCTATTACACGGTACTGAGTTTAGAAAAAATTTTACTTATAAAATATTGAAAATAAACATTTACTATTATGTAATTTTTACATATAATGAAAATAAATTTTAAGCAGATACGTTAAAAATATTTGATGTTACCAATAAAAATGAAGTTACAAAATAGCTTAAATTTAATATTCACATGCATTAAATTTCATGTAAATTCACATAGAATTTAACAAATGCAATATATTTCATAAAATTTTATGAGAAGTACACTAAATTTCATGTAATGTACATGAATATACTTTTCAGTTACAGGCTTTAAATTTAATTTAATGTCAGGGAACTGAATTTAATTTATGTAAACTTAAAAGTATATTAAATTTTATAACAATAAAACTAAAATACTCACATGAAATACAAATTCAAGTGCTCCCTTTGGTATGGGTACGGGATTAGTTTCGCAGAGTGTGCCAGAAATAGCAATCCAACTATTAGCCGAGGTAGTAGCAGCACTTGCTTTTCGACTGGGAAATATCACAACTCGGTACGGTAACTTCGTCGTTGGATAGTTATTCGTGAAACAAAAGTAATCGACGGCGTTCAATGTTAGAAGATGATACAAGAATTGCTCTTTCTCTTCTTCACAGCGTAAAAATGCTGATCGTTTGTACTGGGTCCTAATAAATCATAAATAGCAAATTCGATTGGATGTACTAGTGCGCACTAGTGAATATTAAAGCTGTTGTACACTAATTGTATAAAAGTAAAATGCAAATATTTCGAATCATAAAATATAGATTTTACTTAACAGCATAATAAAATATATTTCACAGTTTAATTCATTTATATATTTATACTAAACATATATATGTTTACGACAATTTGTGTACGACGGCTTTAATGTGCACCAGTGCACATTGAGTGCATCTAATCGAATTCGCTAAAAACATTACCAATTATATTAATGTCCAAAAAGATCATTATTTAATATAGTATAAGTTTTAATAACATTTAATAACATTACTAAATATCGCTACTAATATCATTATCAGTATTAATTAGCTATTGTGTCAATACTATCACATGCATAATAACTGTAATAATTTAATTATTTCCAAAATGCACCTTAATAAAGCATTATCCGACAATAATATCTTCAAATGACGCGACAACAATTTCTTTTCAAGTGCTAGCCGCACCCATGCTCTAGCATATCCAATGTGTGTTTTAATATCAGTCATCGCTTGAACGTTGCGGATATCGAAGATTAAAGAATCCGGGAGAGGTCTCAAGTGTTCAGGACCAATGGTTTTCCTCTCACTAGAAGATTTGTGCTTATCCGTGCCTCTTGTGGGTGAAACGTCCGTCTCCAATTGCAAATTTGACAAATCTATATGTAATTTCAATCATAATGTAAAATATGTTAGATACAGGCATTTCTCAAGTTATAAGCCAAAGGATGCAAACAAAATACACATAAAAACAGTATTCTTCTTGACTAAACATTCATCTAATTATATTTAATACATATTTGCGCATACATTAATAAACACATTCAGTAACATGCTTTGTATAAACATTCGGAAAGAATATACACACTCTTCATACATAATTTATATTAAAAAAACGTTACACACGCACACATATCATCCTAGTATATGAGATTGAATTAAAATGGATTGAAATTTTAATCTATTTAAATCATCCAAATGCATACTTTAATTGTATTGTATGGCCCATTTTCATTCTTTTTTTAGATTCAATTGGATTAAAAAACTGTATTTCACCTATGTAGAATTTTTAATTGAGTAGTATTCACTTAAAGAAATCTTTTTTAGATTGAAATTCATAGAAATGTACTCATGCAATTTCAGTATAAATAAATAAAAATCCATTGAGATTGAAAAGGATTCATTTCAACGTTCGCAAATACGTCCATTTCTTCTGAATCCATTTCAATCCATTCTTGTTTTTTGAGACAGCAATCTGGCATGCAGTCTATTCAATAAAAGACAGTTTTTTATTTGTAAATTTTTTTAAAAATCATACTATTAAAATAATATGTATTTAATAAATGTATAACTATGATAAATGATTTGTTATTGAGATATGTTGATCGGACATTCAAGAGTTTTAAAAAAGCCGCTATAATTAATAGAATTAGTTCATAAAACTATCTTTTTGTGGCAAGCCAATATCAAGGCTTACCATTAAAATTGTCCTTGATGTAAGAAGCAATTTCAATAATACTTTTGCCTCTCAAAGATGAAACCAAACGATCCGGTATTCCGAAAAACTTATTCGGAGATTTCTTAGCTAGTTATAACAAAAAATAAAATAAAATAAAGAAAAATTAAACATAATGAATAACAAAATAATAAAATCGTTTACATTATTGTTTCAATCGGCAGACAAAGTTCTTAGAATATATTTTTAATATTTATTTGATATAAAAAAAATTAAAAATATATTTTTGAAACATTGTCTGCTGATTGGGTTAATTAGACTTTGCGCATTAATAATACTAATTCTACTTTTCGTCATTGAATATTCGAAGATACTAAAATAATACGTGCGGCGAAGCGTAAACATGTAATATAACTATTGTTTGGTGGATCACTTACAAAACTAACAGTGCAGAGTATCTACGTACGAAGAGAACACTAATCTCTACTTTATAATACTTTATCTTATTGCAAAACGGACACGTACAATCGAGTCGCTTCCGCAGCACGGACCACGCTAGCGCTGCATTTCCACAAAATAATAATGATTTAATGTAATTCAATAATTATTTTCTCTCTTGCACATATACGTATCATATCTAAGCGCATAATTATCAAATAAAAAGTATAAAAATATAATAGTATAAAATAGTATATAATATACAATATATTATAATACAATATATATACAATAATATATTAATATGTATTAATATATATATTAATATATATTAATATATATATTGATATATATTTAAACATATTATATTTAAATAATATATTTATACGATATTAAACCATATCTTACCAGGAGAAAGAAAATTGGAGTCTATAGACTTAGTCGCGTCATTACATTCTTCTGATTCCTGATACATAGTCAAGTGCGACCAAAGAGCGCTTTTGCCCTGTTTATTTTGCAATCCATGGCTCCATACTCGTTCCAAATTTATATGAAATAAATATAACTATATAAAATTAATGTTCCCTTCAAATAAAACTTTTTCGTCATTTTATATAATAAATATATAGTTTCAGTATAAAAATAACTCTAAGAAATAGTTCAAAAATAAATTATTTAATCTTTGTCAGTAATATGGGGTTTTAGAAACACGATTGATATGATATTTTGATTATGAATTTTAAGAAAGAATGGATAATAGTAATAGAAATTTGATATTCTTCCCTAAAAAAGAACTTAATGATATTGATATTAGTCATTGTGTGTACAAAGACATCAATATCCAGTTGTTTTGTTACAAAAATAGAAGTTGTGTTGGTTTCCTCAGCAGCCCGCAAAATATTTTGTGTAAATAAAAAATTTAATTTTTTTTCACATTTTAAATGTTTTTGACATTATAGATCCAATAAAAATATATAGATTTTACATTTAAAATTTATTTTTTAGTGTTTTACATCATTTTTTTCATTTCATTCAAAATCAACATTTACGGTATGCAAATACATATTTCACGAAGTACTCAAAATTGAAAGAGAAACTACTCCAAAAGATTTAATAAATTCGAGAAACACAAAAGATATTTATTTTGTCATTAATCAAATAATAGGAAAACTAATTGCTGTGCCTTATATGACAAACTGATAGCGAGTAGCATCATAATTTTACAGATTATGCCGTACAATATAAAAAATAATTTTATTTTTTTGTGTCTTTGTACTTATAAATGGAATTTAATAATTAACCCACCGTAAAAATAATTATATTTTTTCAGAAAAAAAATATATTTTTGTATTCATAAAAATCTGTATTCCCGGGTGCAAATAATTCAACTTTTTAGAGTCAACATCATTTACTATTTTTTTTTTTTTTCAAAGTACATACCCCCAAGCATTATAATTTAAAAGGATTTTTTCTTCGCTCGTATGAATATTTCAATTAACATCATATTTTTTCAATACTTTTATTCCGATTTAAATCTACAAAATAAGTAAAATGCAATCCGACTTTTATGATAGATTAATATTTAAACAATATGAAGTGACTGTTAGATCGATACAATATTTGATTTATTTATATCGGTCTAACAGTCACTTCATATTGTTTAAATATTAATCTTCCATGAAATTTTAACTTTTTCAGCAACAGTAGGGGTTTTTAAGAGCAAATTTTTTTATGTTCCGGATTACATAAAAATCTGAAAAAATTATGATATATATTTGAAGTTTTAATAATGTCTTTTTACTATAAAAGTCGGATTACATTTTACTTATTTTCGTATTTTAATTAAAAAGAATCCTATATTCCTATATTCCTATATAAGCGGATCTTAGTGCTTAAATACATATTTATCTTAACAAGTGATATTACTATTCTGTTCATAAATAAGTTTTAAATCCGAAAAAATATTTCGGTACGTAAAGCAGAATTAGAAAGTATTATAAAGTAAATTCACAAAAGAAATATATATTTAAATACTAAGATCCGCTTCCGAAATATATGGTAACCGAATATAAGGTACTTCTTATTTAAAATTTGATTAATATTTAAATTATAAAAAAATAATTCTAGATAATAAATGTATAGTTAGCAACTATACATAAAAGATTGCAATATTTTCTTCACGATGGGTTTCGGAATACAGTCTGCTCACCGAATTATTGGTTCTTATTTATAAATCCATAAGTAAAAACCAATCGCTCAGTGAGTAGACTGCATTCCGAAACCCATTAAAAAAGTTACAACCTTTTGATTGCTGACTGTACATAAAATTTCAATTATGTTAAATAATATTCATAAAATAAAAGTACCTTGAGCAATTTTTCTACGAATGTCCAATTAGCTTGCGCTATTAAAGCGGGACTCATGTCTGCCGAGAGTTTAGTTTGAGGTCGAGGTGACTGAGATTCTTGGGGTATTGCCGGCTTTCCGTTCGTATCCATAGATTTCATCTTATATTTCCACTGTGTCTGCCCTCTTCTACTACTGTATAAGCGAAACAAATCAATTAATTATATATATTTACGTTACTAGTCTCTGGTAAAAATTTTTCTCAGAATTTTTTACATAATTTTTCAGAATTTCTATGTAATTTTTCAGAATTTCTATATAATTTTATAACTTCCTCACATTTTTTATACGAATTGGAACATTTCTCAGAAAATCTACATCTTTCCTCAAAATTTTTCATAAATGTTAATTATAAAATATCGTAAGATTTCTAAGATTTTTTTCTAAGTATAATTTGTGTTAAATATTATAAAATAATATTATAAAATCTAAAAAATTAAAAAATATTTTTTAAAAATTATGGAATGAGAAATTTCAAAATATTTCAGAATTCACTTGTATGAAACATTCTGAGAGAAGATGTCTGAGAAAAACTTTCCGAATATTTCTGAAAAATGTTCTAATTCGTATAAAAATTATGAGAAAAATTTTTACCAGGGGTAATTTACGATTTAATTTATTATTACATTTTTGAAGGACTTAGAGCAAAATCAAATATATGTATTTTGCTGTAAACCTCTTATTTTATTCTGTTTATATTAAATGTAATTTCTTACCGAAGTATACTATACAGGAAGCACAAAATAGGAGAATAGCAGACATTAATAAATTTAAAAATAGAAGATTGTTTAAATAAAAATATTATGAATAACATACCTTTGAGCAGGTTCCTTATTCAACGCGACATTATCCAGCAACGGAAAACTCCGAAAATATGCAGCTCTATGAGGAAGAATCTCCGCAGGCGGATTTGTTTCAAAATCTATATTAATTAATCTCTGTTCGAGTATTTGTTGCGTATCTGCGATGCTCGTACAAGACTCGTATCGCATTGATCGTATAATACTTTCTCCGACTTTTTTTCTAAAATATAATATAGATCAAATGAATTAAAAAAATGTTATGTATTTTTAATCTTATTTGTTTAAATAGAAAGCGTTTAAAAAAAAATAAAAAGAATATTATATCATTATTATGACTTACTTTAAAGCGGAAATCCTTTGGTCGAAAACTTTAATGTTACAGTCAAGTTCACTCCACGTCGACATGACTTTGCTGTCGACAAGAGAAGCGAACATCTGTGTTTCCAGGAATCTCGACAAAAATGGCAGATGCTGTGTCGGTTGATCAGATAAAAACGTGGCCTTGTCAAAAACATGCATACTATCTCTGTTATTTATCCATTCATCCTTGTCCTACAATGCAAAATTTATTATAACTTTATTATAATTACAAGAGATTCTAATTTTGTAGAAGCGTAGTATGCTCGTACCTGACTTGGTTGAATAACAAAATGTTCATAACTAGAAAACATTTGTACAAAACGGTTCAAAAAAATCTCCCTAATAGTATTATTAAAGATAAGAGTCTCTTGATATTCTTCTTGAGGCGTGAGTATTTTTTCCGTAGTATCCTCTATAGGATCAATGTCATCCATGTTTACTGTAAGCAGAGAAAAATTAAAAATTTGAAAATAATCCTGATAATAATATTTCGCTTTATATATCAAGAAATCGTCTTACCTCTCTTAATAATATCCACTGTTCTTTGCAGATTGTCTGATTGTGGTCCTGGTTCCGGCCGATCCCAATCTAACACATCGTGCAAAGAATGTTTTCTGCGAGGAAGATGAAAACCAGAACCGGGAAGTGTCAGGCTACTGGTCATGATGTCACCATTATAATAGTTAATAATCATATTATCAGTCCTATAAAGATTTTGCTCGATTTAGATACAGAGTAATCGAATTTCTATCTCGATTTAAAAACAAGTAACTTACTTTCCTGAATGTGGTATTTTGTACTTGTTTAGAAGCGCTCTGATCTCATTAATAAATTGCATTTTATGAGGAAACACGGGTAATTCTTCCGGAAATTGGCTACTTTGCTTATCTATATCTACATAACAAAGATTTGCCTGTAATCAAACACGATTGATATTACTCATAATTAGTAATACACAATTGCTCATTTTTCATAAAATATTTTTCTCGAATTTAATAAAAAAATGAAATATAGAAGAAAGATCTAAGCGAACATACTTCGCTAGCGATTTTCAATACACCACCCTCATTGTGCGCATGTAAACCCATTATGAAGGGCACAGGTGCATCTAAGAAATGATGCAGACTGGCGGGTAATATTGGTACGTAAACATGTTGCCACGAGAAAGGAAACAAGAGCGCCGTTATGCATTCAGACACCACCATCAGCTTGTGAAAATCAGCGCTTCTCAACAAAACTTGATTCTCCAACAGCACGCATGTGAACAATTGGATTAGGCAATCTGCACCCAACCACGTGAACACATCCTTGAGAGGATAGTCCAACATCGGTAACTCCAGCGATGGAGACGGTTGATGGATAACCAATTCTAATGGCGATTTTGCCGGTTCATCGTTAGGTACAAAAAACTTCAACGATTTGCCAGGTAACGGTACTGGTACATTATATAGAAGATTATACACATAAGATTCTAAGCTAAGACCAGGTCCAGGATGTCTAGGAACACATCTAAAAAAATTCATTCAATTATTTCATAGTTTTAATGTTATAATAATAATAATATACATAAGTTGTTGTGCATAAATTCTGCCAAACAGAATATCTATCACTTCTAAAAAATCTCTAGCTTTTTAAACGATATCTAAACAGCATACGAAAAACTAATAGTCAATTTCTCCATCTCTAGATAACTTTCTTCATAAGATATCTTATAAATAAAATTGTCGATAACTTATCTAGAGATGAAGAAATTATAGTAATATAAGACATTTTTACTATCATTGATCAAATATTCCGAAATTGTATAAATATTTCAAATAATTAGTAAACTAAAGACAGCAATATTACATATTGCGAAAATCTTATAATAATTTGACTATAACGATAGATACATAAAAAAATTTCTATATTTGATAAAAATTGTATATTTGCACTGCATCAGTAATTTGCAGAATTTCGTATTGGAGAATTTCGTACAAGCTTAAACATATTTGAGCAGCACATCTAACAAATTAAAAGTGATGAGATAAGAGCAAATTTAAAAAATCCTAATTAACAAATCTTTTTTAAAAAATTAAATTCTTATCTTTTATCTATTCATTAACAGAATTAATGCAACGCATTAACTCTGACATTATATTATCACTTGTACTTTTAAGTACTCTTACAAAGCGTAGCATTAACGTAGTTATATAAGAAGAATAGAGCTCGTTTCAATGGAGCTTTATAAGACTCGCAAGATATCTTACTTATAGAGATTAGTGAGGAACGTCTTTGTCGCATGGAGGTAAGGTTGTTGGCATAGCAAGGATATTGATTTAGTCACTAGCAACTTGTCTTTGGTAGAATCATAATATCCTAACGCAGCACCAGGTGAATGAGCCGACAATTTAAAATGACGAGGCAGCGATCTCGTGTTATGTCCATCTTGACCCTTCCTCGCACTGAAAAAATCGTGAAATATGTTTTATAAACTCAAAAATATATATAATACAATAGACAAAGAAATTTTAATAATATATGCAAGAAAAGAGCATTTTAAATGCATTTTCACGTTTTTCAGTTATCTGTATTCAAAATCATGATTTTTAATTTATCAACTTCTTAATTTTTAATGAATTTCACACAAATAAATTTTACAAACAAATTTTACTTCAACAAGAAGGAAAAATAAGAATTTCCAAATTATCAAGAAATTTGACACTGACAATGAGGAGAAAGCAAACATACGTGGGGGGCGTGCCGTTTTGACCGCTGCTGAGCTCCGTGATGTGCATCGCCTGTAGCGTTTGCATAGCGGAGCATATTTTGCGATTGCGACACTCCTCGTAGAAAACGAGGCTGAATCCGTATGTTCTGTGACCATCTTCTTTCGTGAGAACGAAAGAGTGGAAGGTCGGCTCCACCGAGTGCTTTTGTGTACGAAATCGCAAACCGCTTGGCAGACAAAGCTATTATCAATGTAATCAATAAGTTACTCCCTCGGCTGCGTGAGACGCAAATGTTCCCTAAATCTAATTAGAATTGAAAATACTTCGAAGATGACAATTTTCTACGTGACGTAGATAAAACTTTTATATTTATATTATTAATTTAATTAATTAACTTTAGTTAGTCATACAACAAATACCCATATAAATCATTTATGGATATTAATAAATAAATGTTATAAATAAATTCGATTATTGAATTCTCTTCGCTTATAAATGAATTATATAATGCAAACAAATTTATATTCATTACTAACTTATAACACGACAGTATTGTAATTAACAATTAATTGTCACACATACCATGCAGACAGCATGTTCGTCGAAGGGATTCCATGGTACCGAGTCTGGATAATGTCCTAATACTTTGCTTTTATATGCTCGATCCAAGGGTGTGCACTGCAATGAGTCACCTGCAAAACAACAAACAGCCTTAATATCGTAAACATCAAGTATCGTTCTCAATAGCTTACGAAAAGAATGGCTCCTTGTAGTCACGCACGATATTTTTTTCGCTAGATTCCACTTCTAAGAAACAATTAAAGAAACTTTTGTACGTTCCTTCCATCACGAATGTCAAGAACATCTAATATGATTTCTTTGCACGAACACGCAGCAATCAAAATATTTACGTTAGAAGAAAAGAAAATTCAGCGCGTCTCAATCTTTGGCGAATGATAAAATTCCGGCTCTCACGGAGAAGAGAGGGATAGAGAGAAACGCTTATCTTACAGCGGAATCAGCAAAGCTGTTATCGAACATGCCACACGGTCCTACAGACACGACGTGAATGAGAGATGGTCCAGAAGGCCTTGGCGCTACTCCAACTGCTCCGAAGTATTCCTCGTCAGAATACAAGAGTACTCCTGTACGAAGTTAATCGTTCGTGATCAAGAGCTATCCAAGATGATAAATCTACATTTTTGAAATGCAGGAAAGAAAATGGTGAATAAACACCAACGAATTGCGAAACGTTCTTCACAACAAGAGAATTAATCACGATCAATGAATCAATCAGTAGATCGCAGTCAATTAAGACTTCGTTCTTCTCGATATTAAGAAAGAAAAATAAGAGTGCGTCCTTGGGAATACATGAAGTTTAAATTTTATTTCACAAAATTCACGATATATCTATTATATATACATAAAAATATATTCAAATTGCAAAAATGTAGATTAAATATAACACATAATTATACAATTTACATGAATATATAATATTTATCTGTATAATTTGCAATATAATATTAAACATGTTTTATTTTAATTTAATCATATAAAATGCATTAATTTGTACTACAATGCTATCAATTATATTATATTTTGGAGAAGATAATTTTACAAATATCGCTTCAAATGAAATTCCTAAAATTTTATCTCAATTGAGATATAAAACTAGGAAATGAGATTCGATCTAAGTATTACTTCCCGCGTATTGCGAAAGTCTTCCGTAAACCTTCATAAGCCGTTTGCCGTTTGTTGAACTTTCCTCGGATTAAAGTTGGATAGTACGCACATCCCAAGTTCGTGCTCTGAATTAATCTACATACATTTGAAAATCCATTTTACGTAATAATTCCCGTTGTAGCATAATGCAGTAATTGAATTCTATCTTACACTAGTTCTGTCATATCCCATTACAAAATTTTTTGCTTGAATTTGTCACACATTTTATCTCTTCAAATCTCTTTGAAAAAGCAATGGTTCATAAACAATGATTATTCATACATTAATATCATAATTTAAAAATAGAAACAAAATATGCTTTTAACGCACACGTAAAATATTACGCAATATAACACTAATGAAAGTATCAATATTATATTAAAATAGCACTTTCTCTAAATATTTTGCAAAAAATTGAAAATATACTAGTAAATATATTTAAAAATACAAATATAAAATAAATACATGTAATAAATAAAAATAAATACATGTAGAATTGAATACATTAAAATCTGAAGTCTTAATTGATGTCATAAACTGATCTGAGTCAATCTCCGTTTGGAAATGATGTACACGAAGTAGCTGGTGAAAATCGAATGGACTGATTGGGTTGCCGAGTGAGTCGCCGAAATCACCAGTTTCCATTAACGGGCCGATAACTTTTTCCGATATTTCAGTTCCTCATCTACACATACACAGAATTCCCGAATAATAATAAATCGCTGTACGCTGTACATCGGATCGGTCCAACGAGCTTGTCTTCTACAAAAAAATGTTTTTATTTTTAGAAAACTGCGCGTTAGATTTATACAAGTATCTCTGGCTAAATATTACAGTAGCGATACTGTAAAACATTGCAGCAAGTTTACATAAAATAAATAATTTGTACAAAAAGTTCGTAGTCACATTCATAAATTAATTTTTATTAAAATTTTACTCATAATTATGAATAAAAATGACAAATGAAAAAATTTGTTGCCTATTCTTCTATTTTATTATTAAATGCGCCATTTACTACTTACATATGTAGGTACATAATCTTATTATTATATATTTTATTATTTATTATTGTTATAAGCATAAAATTTTTGGCAGTAATATTACAGAGGAAAAATATAATGGTAATATGAATTGTCTTATAATTTATCCTTGTTTGATTAAAAAATAAAATCATGTGACCAAATTTCTTAATTCTTTTTATGCTTTCAAAAAATCTATTTCAAGATATACTATATTCTATTAGGTGTTGGAATTAATTCGTAGCGTTTTACAAGTGATGGGAAGTACTTTCATTAATGTATTTTTTAATGCTCATGTGAAATAAATAACATTCTTTCATTAAAAAACGCTACGAATTAATTCCAACACCTAATAGTACTAATATTCATATTTTTTAATACATATTTCATTTTACTACATGACCGTTTCTAATATTTATTTAATTCCAACAGTCAAATTCTATGATGATCTACATCGATTAGATTTTAAAAAATTGTAAGATGCACACCGCCATCGAAAAAATACTAATCACAATCTACCGATTACTGCACTATACTAATAGGAAAAGCTCTAATACAAGATTCGTCGCATACGTAAAAATATAAGTAACCTTCCTCTTCAGCATGCGTTTTAATATTAATTTCTCAAAACCGATGCGATGTTTAATTGAAAATGACCTCATGTGAGATAGAAACGTTTTTTTTAAATTTTGTTATTAAATATATTGTTTAGCTCATAGTTCTTGCTTATATATTTGATTTTTAAAAATAAAAATTGATGATATAGTAATCTTAAGATATGTATCTAATTATATAGAGAAAGATGATACAAATTTTTTAAATTACAAATCTGTATTTTTTAATCGAAAAAGAATAAATCACAAAACAATCCATATTATATTATTATAGTATTTTTCGGCAAAATAATTTTTTATTTAATTTCAATACCTTCTCATCAAAAGAGAACTCAATCAAAATTATTATTATAACTCAGCAACTTATGCAATAATACAAGTATTATTATAAAAGTTATCTACTATCTATTCATCTAAAATCATAGCACATCCCCTCGAGTTATCGTGCGGATCTGTCATCGTGTTTAATTGAGCGCAGAAAATTGTTCGCCAATTCTTTTAGTTAAACACTCGCAGCTCATGAGTCTCTCGCGATGATATTTAATAATTTCGTGATATATATTCGTGATATATATACTTACACGATTTTACGAGTATGAAGTATCGTACTCGGAGAAAATGTTAATTATTTATAAAATAACTTACTTTCAACATCCTGTAATTATCGTGCAAATACTGTTACGACTATACGGAAATCGCCTGCTAACATTGCTATACTCTTACTGCATATCTGCCTCGTTCCAGTTATTACGCGAATATATTGTCCCTAAATCTCCACACATGCGTAGATCTCCGTACTTTCTACTCTCGTATCGTTGTGGAGAGGTTCTTATTACGAGTATACTTCCTAATTACATACCTTACGCGCAACATCAAAGTGCGGTTACTAACGGTAATGGCACGGGTAGTCTAAAAGCAGATGGTTTTGCACCGGTTCTTAATTGTTCTATAAATCTTCCTGTTGCGCGAGTAATAATATTAATTACTTAAAACAATTCTAAGAAAAAAAATATTTAAAAAATAATCAGATTAGAGATAATCAATTGACTGATAAATATTACTTTTTGTACGTAAGAACATTAAAATCCTTTTTTCTAGAAATCTTGGCTGCACAATTATTTCAATTTAAATTTATTTAAATCCATCTCTGTCTCTTTCTCTTTCTTTGCAGTTCATGTCTATAAAATAAAGGCTGTATTATAACGTGAGTACTTTTATTTTTAAGATTCTAAAAAACATGTTACCGTAGCAATTAAGAAATAAGTTAGAAATAGTAGGAAATGAGAGTGAAAGGCAAACACAACAACGACAAGTTGGGAATAAAATGTTGCAATAAAATTCCGTAAAGAAGTGCGCAAAGAATAGAGGAAGGTCATCGATATCGATGTATCACTTTGTTTTTAGACAATATTTTTTACATAAAAGTTAAAAATAAAACTTTATAAATATAAATACAAACCTGAAAGTGTCTTCTATCAGATAGCAATTATTATAATACTTTTTGCAATTTTGCAGTAATTAACTTTTTCGTAAGATAAGCAAAAATGAGCGTCTGACAAAAGGGGTTTCAAAACTGACATTTAAGTAATAATTCTTATTCTTTTTCTTTCTCAGGAATCATTTGTCAAAATACTTACAAATAAATGTGTATAATATTTTCTAGAATCTTTTAGAATCTTTTAAGCAAAAATATAAGTCCGTAATTAACACATGCATACATTTATGATAAAAGCACTTTCTATGAATACAAGCTTTAATATAAATAAAGACATAAATATAGTTAGTAATTTATATAGTATTTATTATAATAGAAACTATAGACTAACTAGAATATGAATGTAGTTAATATAACGTAAAAATCCTAAAATTATATACTTAAATATAATCATGAAATTACAATTATTATTCCGTTATACCATATAATTTTCATCAAAGTCCCTTTTGCAGAGATCATTGATCTCGTTTACGAGCAACCCAAGTATTCGCTTCGAAGATAAACATCACGCGGTCAATTTATATGCATCCGTGACACGAAGTAAATACAAAATACAAGAGCAGAGTGAACCACGAACGCGACAAGAGAAAGAGAGAATCACGTCCGAAGAAGAAAAGGGGAAGAAAACGAGCAATAAATGAAGGGAATATGCCCCTGTGCCATGGAAAGTATTGATTCGAGAGAATGATGCTCGTACGAGGTGTAGAACAAACGAATATTTTCCATGAATCCGCCTGTGCGTACACTTGCGCACGCACGCCCACGCGTGCTTGTAAATGCTTGTATTAACCGCATGACGGTATCACGCGACAGACAGAAAGGAGTGCAGAGTTTTAAAT